AGTGCGATCGGGCACGAATTTGCGGTAGCTTAATTTTTGGTTTTGTCTAGAGAATAACATATCAAAAGCTCATCGAAATCGGAGGCGGACACCTGGGTAACTCTCCTTGTTAGAAAAACATTATTTATTTTTTCAAATATTGTTTAAATTTTTATGTTTTAAAAAGTTTTCTGTTTAACGTGCTCATTTGGCTGATGTTTATTGTCTTTACATCTATAATAAATTTCATTTTTTACTGTATTTTTTATTTAAAAAAATAGAAATTTAGTGCAACATTAAATATTTATTTTTTAAAGCAATCTTTTACTTTTCTTGAACGTTTTAATTCTGCAATTTGAAACAAAAAATGTTCATATTTTACTCATAACTGTATTAAAAAAAAAAGATAAAATTTAGTGTAAATAATAATCATATTTATTGTTATTTTTCATCTAATATTATAATTGTTCCGGATTCCGCGTTCGCAAACATCATCCGAGTTTTGTACTTTGCTCATGTTGAGCACACCTGGAGCGATGAAGTCACGCGTGTACCGCGTGACCTCCCCGTGTGAGTCTCTCGCTCACGGACGCGCCGGATGTCACGCCACCCATGCGCTGTTTTTCAAAAATCAAATCCTTGCGCATCACATTTTTCGCGCGCGATCGGAGAGTTCGCCGCCAGATCCCGAAGCGTACGGATCTCTATCATATCTTGCCTACCGCTTTCGTTGTGCGAACTCCGCTCTCAATATCGGTTGTATTTCAATCGAACCTGCGTTTAAGTGACGCCCGTAAACTGTGATCGGCGTCCTCAAGATTTCCGTCTCGTAAACGTCCACGTCATCAAGAGATCTGCGATATTTGCATTTTCGCATGTAAAAGTTATAGAAGCTCCCAGCGGCTCGCAATTCCGCGTGTGACAACTACCAGGCCTAACTATACCGCTCGCCTCGTTTTAACGACATTTTTACACTGAATCAAATAAACGTCTGAACCAACATCACTGCTGAATTCGTTTTTTGGAGAGTCACCCGCCTTGGAGAGCGAACCTTCCAATTTAAGGTGGTACCAGCCTATCCGATCCGCAAACAATAATATTTTAATTTTTCTTATAAATTGGAATGAACACATACACATATATGGATAATTAAAAAATTCTTAGGCATCTATTTCATAATTTACATAGACACTCTAAATTATAAAGTAAATGCCAATTATATATATATACAGGGTGTCCCGCCTCTACCGGATTTCCTTTTAAGAACGTGTTCCTAAGATAATTTTGAAACGAAAATCCCAATACAAAAATGTCGAGGCTATAATACTTTTCAAATTATAAACGATTTTAGTTAACCAATATTAGCGGC